ATAATAATAATAATAATAATGGCAGAAATTTAGCTTTATACATCTAAACTAGACCTTAGATTTGGGTGCATAGATTGAAAGCACCTTGTATTGAATCTACCCAGATCTAGATATAACCCTGCCTCATCAATTTTAGATTTAGATTTATTAGGCCTAACTTTTAGAACAAATGTTACATCTAGATCTATTAACTTAATCATTAGATCTGTTCCAGTGCAATGCCTAGTTTAATAGTTAGTATAGGTCTAAGTATGCTTATAATATAGGCTACAATTTGTATGATGATGGACCTAGGGTCTAGAAATAAAGTTATAACTGCAATTAGACCTAAAGTCAAGTACATTAATTGGTGTAAGACATGATTTATAAGCAGCCAATACAATTACAAACCACTATGTTAGGACTATAATGTTTACTAGATCTAGATCTTGCCTGTTGCATATATTGCCAATCTTGCACACCAGTTAATATGTTACATCAATCTTGTATTTTCTTTTTGTTGAACACACACTTACTTGTAGGTTGTACTCTAGGACTTGTATTTGATCTACAGATGAATGATGGAATAATGTAATTTACTTCTGTATATCAATTCAGTCTCACTGTATTTCAGTGGGCGGCTTTTAAAAGTTAAAACTGCAAGCGTAATACACACAAATAACGTAACACTTAACCTAGAGCAGTTGCACTATGTCCTAAGGGAGGGCATAATTATTAATTAATAGGCATTATAGGCCAGAGGAAATTTTGCACCCCTTCACACCTGTGCCCAGGGGCGACTGCCACCCCATGCCCCCCAAAATACAACATGCTGAGTGTGATGGTTCAACCAATCGTAATTGACAATTACTCCACTTACTGTGTGATAAGTTTTCTTGGGCAGAAGTTGACAGTTCCATTGGAGGGGTTTAAAACATTATCAATGTTTTTTGAAAGACATTGATATGGCTACTGAAAAGAAATATCTCCAGTATTGAGATAAAAGTAATACATGGACTTTTTGAGTGCACAGAAAGTTGAGTTTGTTTTGGTGAGAAATAATGCCACTGTGGGAAATATGTTTGTGTTACAGTAGTGACTAAAGAAAGCCTTGCATTAATCCTTGTTCTATAAGAATTGTGTGATAGAAATGGACACAACATGCATGAAGATATAGACATGTAAAACAAATTTTTACAGGCTTTTTCAGAAATAAACAAAGCCCCGTTCTCTGTGTACAGTTGGCATAATGTACCCATGTTAATGTATTGCTTACAATAACTTACATCTTTATTTTTAGTAATGTGATTGATATGAAAATAAAAACATATAAGACAAACATTCCGAATTTGATATTTAAAATTAAATAGTTGTAATTATATTTGGAAAAGAAATTACAAAGTCTTTACATAAATTCATATTTTAGCTTTCATAAACAGAATGCTTGTTTTCAATTTTTCTTTCCTACGTCATCACTTGTACAATCATAGTACTTGCACTTTTACTTATTTTGGACATCAGAAATATGAAACATCTTTTTCGAGACTATTATAACTTCCAAAAAATAGAAAAATCCATTTTGTAACAAGTATATGTTACAAGAGCTGCAGATTTCATAAGCAATACTAACTTTGATGAAAACAAATCTGTAAAGTTTAGAACATTCACACATTGTTAGTGTCTCAAAAAGCCAAGTCACAAATATATACCAAGGCAATGTTTAATTGCATGTTGTTGTATTCATTTTGCAATAATCAATTTTGGCTGAGACCATAACTAGATTGCTGTAGATTCTAGCTGTGCTGCTTTCAGAAAAACAAACAAAAAAAAAGCTTTTACAGTAATTAATAGGGCAATTAAATAAAAACACTGACAGCTGATATTTCTTTTTAATACTATATGTTGTGTTTTTTTAATAATTTCTAAAACAAATTTTAAGGATTTGTTCTCTCCCCCCAGATCTATACCTACTTACCAACTTTAAATAATGATTATTAATTTCTGAAATAAAATAGGTGGATGGGTTGAAGTGAGGGCTTCAACACCCTTGGACACCTTCCCTAAATCTTGTTGTTTGCCATTTATTGGTGCAAAGCAACTAGGCTATCTGTGCCCCCCCTAAATCTGAGCCTGCTTATTAAATATTAAATAATATAGTTACGAATTTCTGAAAACAATGCGTGGAGGTTTTCCCCACTAAATCTACACTTGCTTACATAACATTAAGAAATACAGTCAATAATTTCTAGAAAAAGAATTAATGGGGTTCTAAACCCATTGGGCCCCTTCACCAGATCTGTACCTGCTTATACAACAATATAATTGACAGTTATGCAATTATAAATTAGATACATAACACAGTGTAAAAAACAACAACAGCAAATTTACACTTTATTTAATACTTAAGCAACTTAAGAGTTGGTGGTGGGTGCTACCAGCCAGTTTCCTTCCCTCAGTTAGCAGTTCAAAATTAGTGACAATGGCATATAGCCATAATACTTTTGCAATAACAAAGACAGGGCAAGTAAATTTAGTAGCAATAGGAATCAAACCAAAGACCCTCAAATCATAAAGCATCCCACCCCCCATCACGTAGCTTGGTGCTTAACAACAAACAAACATAATAGCAATATCTTGATTACTTAGATGTTTCAAATAATCGCAAACCCTAATTCAGATTATTTGATTATTTTCATGAAAATCAAAATAATTATAATTTTGATTAATTGATTGTTGGAATAATCAAAATGGTAACAATCAAAAACAATAAATTTGATTAGCTGATTATTTTCATGACATTAATTGATTAATCGTAATTTCAATTAATCAATTAATTTATGGGCCACCAAGTGATGTAACTGCTACTTGTATGTAATTGATTATATTGAATAAATCTCCCAGCTCTGTTCACAGCCACAACTAAGTATAATGTTACTATACTGATAGTCAGAAAGAGACTTCAAAAAGTTGATCTGCATGTCAGATGCCCAATGAGGTGCATTCTGCTCATAGTAAGGCACAAAACAGTTCATCTGTGACAATGCCATGAACACATCCATCCAGTGAATCAGTGATGTATTCTTTATCCAGATAAGTTTCATCCTGTGGCCAGATAACAGATGTATTCTCATTTGGAGAGAGTCTAGCATCATCACGTGATGTACAAACAGTAGTGGAGGTAAGGGGTGGGAAGGAATAAGCACAGTTTGACGTATCAATCACTATATTAACTGATCCTGATGTCAGCCTAATGGATGATGTTATCTGTCCTTACCATACTAAACAAGTCCATTCCTTGAGGAAAACAGAATTTATCAAACAGTGGCCTTCATGCTCATCACATTCTAATACCCCTAATACACTGAAGATCATCTTAAGAGAAATGTATCTTGCCAGGTAACTCCAGGCAATAAAAATATGCTACAAACAGCTCTCTCAGACAAATAGTTAAGAATATCTCAACACAGGAGTAAATAATCTTCCAAAAAAATCAAAGATTTTACCTGTACTCACAATTAATACACCCTAATTTCTCACTGGTTAGCACCAACTTCATAGTGTCATAGCTTCAGTATTAAAACCCAATAGTCAACATACAGCTTATGTTTCCCTATTTTTATATTTATTTACTTTTCCTTTTTAATTTTTGACACTTTCCACAAGAGCTTGGTTGAACCAACCAAGTTAGCAACCATGGAGTACTCATTCCAGTTTCCATATTGTTACTTTCAATACAGTATGTGTATCATCACAAAATTTGGCATACTTTCAGTAAATGCTACAAGTGTTTTGTAAAGTATTTTTACTTAAGATTTATCTGTGAATATATCGAGTAGTTTTGTTTAGTAGTCCCAGTGCAAAGTGATTTTCATGTTCAGATTAAAAATACTTTTACTCATATGAAACTTTTCAAATTTCATTTGTGTAATTTCTAAAACCTCTAAAATAATTTATAAAATGTGTTTTTCAGTAAAACTTTATATCTCATCTGTTATTTTCTCTACCCTAACTCCATATGTAGTTGATTGATTTGACTGACCTCATATCCACCACACAAAACAAAATACAAACTAAATCTAAATTATCCCTTTTTTCTTTCTAGAATCACTGCTATTATAACAGAAAACTACATTTGTTTATTCTAAATAGCTTAAGATTGTAACAGTCTAAATCTGTTTATACTTAAACTATATTTTATAGCTCTTTTAACCATATCTAACTAATATTCCTGCCACAAAAGTTGTATATCACTTGGAGAACACGTAGCTCCCATTATCCTATCAAATTACATAAAGTACAGGCCACTCATGAGTTACTTGCGAGCATACCTCGTGAAAAATCTTTTTATTTCTATTATTCTTTATTTTACTTAAATAACCTAAAAAGTTTCTAATTTTTACATTTCAGTTACTTTTATAATAATAAATAAAGAATATACATGAAAAACAACAAATGTTGTACTTACCTGGGTCTTCGGGTTTTTTTTCCTGTCAATTGTCGGTGAAACTTAAGCCTCCTTTTTTTTTTTATACTGATAGTACTACTACACTAAATTTGTTATTTAATTAAATAATCCACCAAAAAACACAGAATAATAACAAACAAAAAGCAGAAAATGTTCTATAACTATCACAGTTTTTCTGCCTTTCTAACTGTGTGACAAGAGCTGTTAACAATTTTGCTAAGTCAATGTGCTTCCTGTGGGAATAAAATTTCAACTAGAAAAAAATAATAATAAAGCATTTTTTTTTCTGTAAAACTTTTTATTTTATCTGTTATTTTCACTACCCTAACTCTATATTAAGTCAATTCATTTGACTGATCATGTAACCACCACACAAAAAAATACAAGTTTGAACCGGAAACGAAATATACAATTCTTTATATAGAAAATAATATAATATAATACATCATTTGATAGATTAAAACTTTGGCTTTCTGTTGTTTATAAATAATATAGTATTAAATGTCAGAAAGAACTATTGGCAATTTCTGAAAGAGAGAATGTGACAGGTGGGCATAGCAAGAGGGGGTCTGATTTTCTATTTTATGGCTCTGTAACCAAATAAGATTGAAAGCTATAAAAAATGTGCTTTGCCAGAGTGATGACAACATTATAATGAATAACTTACATTAAATTTTGTACTTATTGGAGATGGTAAATAAATTAGAGAAACAGAAATACCTAGAGAGCAAATGTCACAACTGTTACATTAGGAGAAATTAAGGTTGTTGTTCTTGTTGTTTTGTTTGTTTTTTTTTTTTGTTTTTTTTTGGGGGGGGGGGGTAAATATTGCCTTTTAAAATAAAAAAACTTAAAACTTATATAATGTTAAAATATGGATTATTAACTATATTTTTATGCCATGTTTACTTATACACCAGAATAAGAAAGTACTTTAATTAAATTTTCAATGTAACTCATTAAAACCTCATGACATGCACACAAAAGGTTGTCTTTTCTGAGTGGATCAACGACCTAGATACTTTCCAAATATCAAAATCCATCATTTACCATTTGGAAGAAAACTTACTTCTGCATCATACTTTTAAGCATGTAAAATCATATGTCAGACTACCCTTACTGTTCATAGAAACCCTCCTCCATAATGAACAAAATGCACAAAAATGAAATGGAGGGGTGCTTGACATTATTTTATAATGTTAAAGTTACAAGAAATAAATTATGACTACGATATTCTAAACAGACATACATTTTATTAATTATTTTCATTATTTGAGTGAATATTTAAGTCACCACTGCTACATCCTTAGTGCAATTATATTTTTATTTAGATATTAATGAATTTGTGTAACTGGCAAATCTTTAAACAACTTATTTTTTCCCATTACAGTAGTTTTATGTAATTGTTCTGCTTGTAATTAACAATTGTTCAACTGAAAAATAAGAAAGAAAGATACTGGCACAGTATTATTACACAAAGCTAAATGTGTAATAGTCTGTCTGAATTATCTATCAAATGAGATGTTTATTTAATATTTCAACCTTAAAATAATAAACTTATCCAGACCAGTTCTTAACTATGTGCGAAATCTGGCACTATGAAATAAAGACTTTCAAACAAACTGTTAGAAAGCTATTATTATACCTCTCCAAACATCTGAGATATCTCTGGGGAAGTAATGAAGTCACCAGAACTGCCTATTACATCTCTGTGCATGTAGTACCCCTGTAAAAGAAACACATCTCATTATTAAAAACAAAACTGTGATGGAAAAACAACACAGTAAAATAACACATGGCATACACTTTCACATATGAGTATGTTATGATACCAAACATGTATAATATCCTACTTTCACAATAATTAAAAGTCTCGACATAATAATGTGTATTTATACATCTTTTAAAATATTTCAAATGTATATACCCATGAACATGTCCAAAATTTCAGATTAACAGAATGTTTGCTTTAATGTTTAAATATTTCTCCTTCTAAAATCATTGGCCTGGCATGGCCTGGTGGTTAAGGCTCTCAACTCACAATCTGAGTGACACAGGTTCAAATCTCCATCACACCAAACATACTCACCCTTTCAGCCATGGGGGCACTGTATTATGATGGTCAATCCCACTATTCATTGGTAAGAAAGTAGTCTAAGAGTTGGCAGTAGGTGGTGTTGACTAACTGTTTTCATTCTAGTCTATCACTGCCAAATTAGGAACAGCTAGCGCAGATAGCCCTTGTGTAGCTTTGCTCGAAATTCAAACCAATCTATAATCATCAGAACTTAAGAAACTGTTTTTAAGTGATTTCTAATGTTAGTAAACAAAGAAACTTAGGTTTTTGCTTACAATATAAAAAACACACAATGCAAGTTTGTGCGAAAGAAATTTAGTAGGGAGAAAAAGAACAATATCATATCTATATTCTTTCTTTGTAATAATAAAACAACTTACTGACATGGGGTTAGTGAGCACCTCCTTCATATACTCAGCAACAGTCACAGGACCTGTAGCTGAAATTCTTGCTCTCAAGTGATGGAGAAGTTTAGTCTCCCTAGATTTTTCATGTGCATGGACTGAGTATTTCCTTCTAGATTGAGGGCCCGAACCTATAATAGAAATTGTATGCAGTTTCTTGGTAACTTTTTGCAAGAAAGATACAAGTAGGAAGTTAGTGACAGAAACATAAGCATTAGAAATTTGCAGTACTACTTAATTCTTGTACAGCTAAATACAAGTTATCCTAGTAGAATATTTTAATAGCCAAACAAGTTTCAAGATACTTCCCAGGTTTTCATTAATTTCTTTAACTACTAAAACTCACGAGCCAGGTTTGTCCCTGTTTTCTTTTTCCCAATTAAAACGTTTTGTTACCCTTAAGAATATACACAAAGCTATTCAAATTATAGCTTATCTAAAGAAAATTGTAAACATGAAACAGTCCAACAAGCTTCAAAATTATGTATGAAAAATAAAGTGCAAGGTCCCAAGACATATCATTCAAGGACTTCTCTCATCAAAAAAATGCCCATTTATTATAACCTTTTTTTTTACACCAAGCCAATTTTTAGCCATTTCTTAATATTTATTTCCTAATCCAAGAAAAAAGAAACAGCAAGTGTAAAGAGTCCATTTAAAGACAAACTTTCATACTCACGATTGAGTATGTTATGATATCAAACACATATAATATCCTACTTTCACAATGTTTAAGTTTGTTTTTACCTAAACAGAAATTAACATGATCCAAACTATCAGCATGTACACTATTATCTATAAAATCATTCCACAAGTTAAAAATTTCAGTAGCAAAAAAAAATGCTACATAGTAACGACTATGGATTCAGGTGTTTAAGTATTATATATAGTTTCTATCTTTCTGTCATATTCAAGTCACAATCACAAGCTCAATGTTTTAAAACTCTGAACCTATTACATTCAGATTTTCATAGCTCCAGAAAAGAAAACATAAGTAACTGTCCATTTCTTTCCAATAGCTCAAATTAATAACCTAATAATCCATTCACAAAAATAATGCCTTTCCTATAACAACAACTGTAAATCACCAAATGAAGCCTAACCAGAATCAACTACAATAATAATCTTCCATTAAACTCAAGAATTTGATGAATAAGTTCCTTAACATAATTAGTTCTATTCACTTTTCTAGCTTTTCTTAAATATAATGTAAATAAACCTGCCTTGAATTAAGATTTGAGCTTAGGAGCTATTCAAACAACTTTTTATCATTTCTTATGTTATAAAAGTTCAAAAATTTTGTTGTGAGAAACTGTTTTCAAAAAAAATTAAATATATTCTCTTACATTTAAAAATTTCAATTTTTTAGATTAACTGGAAAGTTCCATTTTATGTATCAAACATCCGACCAATTTCAACTTAATTGATATCATTAGCATATTTCTTTTGATCATTTATTTTGCTGATTGCAGTAGCAACGACATCCCAGTATACATCATTAAAAACATCAAAGAAACTGACAAAAGATTTATCACTGACTTACAACTTGACCTTACAAGATATATCAGGTCAAACAAGGTTATTTTTTTTAAGTATTCCTGGTAGAGATCAATTTATTTTCAGTAAGTTACATTATTTTATTTAAGTGCTTTTTCAATACAATAAAATTAACAATAATATTGAATAAACAAGGATTTGAGTCATCAGAATATTTTGCCATTACCTACCACACTTGCTAAAACTTAACCAAGCTTACCCAATCTTATAATAGAAAAACTTTTTATAGCTTCCAAACAGAAATAAATTAACTCAAAAACATTTTCAGGAATGAAAATAGCATTTAAAGAAACTATAAAAAAATTCCCAGATTTGTGTTTTTTCCTAAGTCTTCTAAACTTCTCATTACATTCCACTGTAATCACTTTCCCAAACCATCACTTACTTCTCACGCTACTTTGTTCACCCTCCAATGATGTGAATAATTTATAAGCTGTTATAGCCAATCATATTTAAATTTTGCTTGAAGATATTTTTAAAGTTGAGCTTCAATCATATGTTCAGATCGCATACTGTGAGATCATAACAGTAATAACAGAAGATAGCTTTTATATGCGGAAACATCTGTTAGCTGAGTTCTTGCACAGATCTTAAAATATAACGTGTTGCAGTATTCATCAGTTCAATAAACAGGTCCTTGGGTATTGGAGGGCACTGAACTTCTCCACCATACAAAGTATCGGCACAAATTTTGATGGTTTCTTCCAGAGGTACATTAGTAAACAGGCTGCTGATGTCGAGGGAGCACAAAAACGATTGTTTAGGGTCAAGGCTAAGGTTCTGTATGATTGTAGCAAAAGAATGGAGTCTTGAATACAGTTTTCTGAAAAGTACGTTAACACCTGTTCTAAAATTTCCCAAAGCCACTTCGCTAATTCATGTTGTGTAGAGCTAATGGCGAAAAGCTTCAGCAGATATTTCCTTTGCAACATCTCAACCAACAATTGGTCCAGTTATCAAAGCTATTTTCAAGTTTTGAACAATTCGACTTTCAAGATCTACATATCTACATGTGCCGATGCTTCCATTTATCAACGTTATATTTTAAGATCTGTGCAAGAACTCAACTAACAGATGTTTCTGCATATAAAAGCTATCTTCAAGTTTTGTACACCAAAAACTTTTCAAGTAATAATGGAACTCAAGAAAGGGAAGGAAAATATTGATAATCATATTCTCAAGGGATTATGGTTTCTTAGCAAATATAAACATATACTCTGATATTGGCAGAAAAACAAATCCATCATGCAAAAAGAGATGCACAAAAATTAAAGCTTGAAAGTTTTCCCATTTTTCTTTTGCAACTGATACTAAAAAAAAAGTTTTGTCAAAAATATCAGTTTAAAATATCTTGAGTTACGTTACTGAAATACAGTCAAGATAAGGCTAATTCACCATCAACTATTTGAACAATATAAAGTATTAGGATGTTAAGAAATTTGCCCTGACAATGACTTGAATTCAATACCTTCAGCACATACCAGTGCTCCGAGACCAATTTTCTTGTCATATGAGCCACCATGTCTCACTTCCATGCAGACCATCTCCATCCTCACCATTACCTTAAAAATCACAGCCACATTCCTTTAACTTTCCAGTACGTTTTCCTAATTTTCTGTATCACATTATTCTTGGTAACTTAATGTTATTAGTGAATTTATCTCCAAATGGTATCAATATAATTTATATGGGTGACAAAAATCAAACAATAGATAAAGGTGACAAAACAGACATCACTAGTCAGTCATCTAATCACAAAAGCTTTGCATTTATTAACCAACCTTTGTAGAATGACATGGTGTCATATACATACCTATGGAAAACCATGCTGATGTACATGAAGCCCACAGTCCTCGAGATTTACTTAGTTTTAACGTGTGTGAAATAGCTGATGACATTTTTGTCAAAAGGTTTGTAGTCATGGCTAAAAGTATTCTAGAAGTGCACGTTCCTGCCAAGCAGGTAGTCTAATACCTACAAACAAAAAACAACAACTTATAAATGAATTATTTTGAGTATAGCACAAATTATATCATTTGAATGATATGAAAATTTACAATTGAAACATCTAAAACAGTTGATTGTAATAGATGACAATCAAACACTTTAACGCAGCAGTTTCCAAACTTCTTTCACTGATGACACCCTAACCCACTTACCTTGATTTATTTGCATGACACCCCTGCTGCCACATGCAATATGTGTTTTGTAGGTTTTTTGTTCTTAATTATTCTTCATTTGGTTACACTCTTGCAACACCCTTAGCAACTTGCCACAAACACACAGTTTGGAAACCACTGCTCCAATGTGACTGTCCTACACCTTAGACAGTATTTTGGCTGATAAAGGAGAAAATTTATCAGCATCAATCCCAGAGTGTAATTAATAACTCAAACTTAAACAACTACATAAACTATTAGTATTCAACCATGATATACCAACTTCAAAAATGAAACACTGAATTATAATTTATCAATTACACAGGGAACAAAATTTAAAAGAAACATTCTGATGTGGCAATATATTTTTGTATGTAATATGAGCTGTGAAATTCATTTCACATGAGAACCAATTATAAATACACTAAAAAAATCCATTACAATCAGTAATCAACATTTTTCAAGTTCATTAATGGCTTTAGCCTCTTGTATTTGTTGTGAATGAGCCTCAGTTCTGACCAAATAAACAAAAATTTATGCAGGCTATCCATTTAGAAGATATACAAATAGCCATAACATTAAGGAACCAGCTGTCATTTTCAACCCACAATTACATAACTGTTCTTATAATGTAAACATCTGATAAGTTTATGTTGATTTGAAGCACATTTTGGGTCTGGCCATACACTGATCGATAAGTTACACTCTAAATGATATAAACATTTTCTTTATACATAAACTGATAGCGATATTAAATCTGATGAGATCAAGCTATGTACTTATAGTGAAACTAGAAATCAACCTGGTAATCAGTACATTTAATTAAATACATCCCTCTTATGTTTCTACATATAAAAATTAAGATGCATTAGGCTACAGCCAAGTTAAAAATATGTATTGCATGTATAAATGAGAGGACACATGTTGAAGATTAGTCAAAATAAGTAATTATCTCTCTATACAAAACACTAGTTAGGCCTAATTTGGAATACTGTGTACAGTTTTGGTATGCATATCTATGAATGAACACTGGCTTACTGGAAAGGGTTCAGAGAAGGACTACTAGGATGATTCCAAGGATTGAGAAAGAGTAAGAGGTGATCTACTAAACTTTGTAAGATTATCTGGTGGAATCAACAGAATAAATGCCTATTATTTCTTTATGCTATAATATGAAGATAAAAGGATGATAGGACATAAGTAAGATCTGGAAAAGGGTAGGTTCCAATTAAGATAGTTTTACTTTTCTAAACTGTTTTTTTTAATTTACAAATTGCCATTTGTAGCAGAGTTTGGCATTTTATAGAAGTTTAAAAGAAGAATCAATGATTTTCTGGAAAAGAGTGAGTTTAAAATTTTACTTTGCCAAAGAGTGGGTATGCAAGGGTAACCTTAAAAGACCAAATGGTCCCTCATTGTTTGTATTTATTGTATGATGTAGTCCTTGACATTCATGCATTTAACAAACAAACTTTCTAATTTTAAATCAAAAGCATGTACATCATTATCTGACAATACATAACATAAATTATAACAACCTATGGTTTCAGGAAATCATTATTTGGAAGATCAAGTCTAGAAATGGGCTCTAACTTCTAAGGCTTATACTTATCATACTTAATTAGTTCTCCTCACCGACCAAATCCTTTATCAAAGCCTGATAATTTTAAATACTTGAATGAGATTACCTTCAGGACTTCTAAGAATATGTACAGTCTTTAAATAATTTAATTATCTACGTCTCTCTTTTGAAATTAACTTATGAATTTAGCATTATAAAAACATTCCATCTTTACACTCTCTTCAGCATGATTTCACTTTTTTTCCTGTATTTGATTTGGTGACCAACACACTTACACAGTATTCTAAAATAGATCTTTTCAGTTTAGGATTAATAATTACTTTTTTTTAAATCTCCCACTAATCTGCTTTGCTTAGCAATGAGTACAGAACTAAAAATTAAAAATGGATCCTGCTTTAATTTTACAATAAAATTTGAAGACGCTTTTACAAGTTTGAATTTTCTGACTTTACAAACTGCCCACATATGAACTGCAAAATGAATTATACTAAGAGAAATTCAGTGATAATGTGATCTTTGTTTGAACTACTTTTGGCTTGAAACGAACCTCTGTTACCCATTTATCGTTAAACAAACATTCGACCATACATTGTCCTACGGTTATTTTAAAGGTTAACCCAGTGTCCTTGTATTACTGTGTGCTCACCCTAATACCAATAAGAATAGCAACGTATAGAAACACCGGCCTTATACTAAAAATTAAAGTGAGTTATAGTAGTACCACAACACGTTTGGCTTGATCATAAAATTCAGACTGATAATGATAGTGAAGCAGTGTTGAGAACATGGACACACTACCAATACCACCTTTCACCGCGCAAGTTTTAAATATGTATCTGCTAAATTAAATTTATCGTATTGTTTAAACCACTAAAAATAAAAGCCCTTTTAAATATTTCTAAAAGCTGTATAGCGTAAGGAAATTCATCGCAACATACATTCCTGGATCACAACTTTCTTCACAATCTAAATAAAAAAAACAGATAGCACAAAGGAGGATGCCTGAAAGAAATAATAAAATAACAGCAATATTTATAGCGCTATCTAGTAACCAAAAATCACATTATTAAATTACTGGTTTATTTTTAACATTTTCCCAATTGGTGATGTAGTGGCACTGCGTTCATTTTCTGACTTAGAGCTGATTTTCTTAGCTTAACTGCAAGAAATTCTACCATCTCAAGTAGAATTCTTCCTGGAAATGGAGGATGACGCTCAAGAAACTGTAGACAAACACAACATCACATTATTTTAGACAGTGTTCGGTAATACCAGTAGAATTGTAGTGTTACGTATCTGCTTGTTTATTAATTCCCGGTATAAATTCTTTCCGAGGAACTTCAGCGATAAAAGTCCTTTCTTGATTAAACCAGTTTATTATTTCTCGATACAAACTTTTAGTACACAGTAATTCCACAATCAGTACGTTTCTCCTCACTTTCAACTTAATAACTGTTATAATACACACTATAAATCACTAGGATTCACAATCTTCATAATTTCGCTCTCTACGAGTAAAAAACACACACTTTATATTAGCCCGCTGCCAGGCTTATATACTAAAGAAGAGGGCATCTCGAACAAACTCAGGCTTCCCTGATAATTCGAGAAACTTTACGCACGCTACCATCGTCACATGCCTTCCGCTGTCGTAACACTACCCCTTCCTTTGTATTGTTGCGTCAGCGAGGTCACGTGACTAGTATCACGCCACGTATTTCAGGAAATATCCTGTTCCTTCAAGAATGCTCTAGCATTTACTAGATATGTGTTAGTCATATATATATAAGACCGGCCACAAAGCGACAACAGTGTAATGAGTAATTGAATGTATACGGACAAAATACATATTTGTTATAGAGCGACTGTTGAAATTAAGTGTACCGTACAGTTGTATTCGGAAAGAATAAACCAGTTTTATTAAGAAAGGACATGTGTCGCTAAAGCTTCGTCGGAACGAAGTTACGAAAAATTAACTAGCGAACTGAGATGTAACAAATTGGTGTCAGAGAGTGGGGAAAAAAATGGAAACGAGAAGCGGCAAATCAAATTACAGCCTAGCAGACTTAATGACAGCAATACAAGAACAGCAAAAGAAACAAGAAGAACGAGAAAAGAAACAAGAAGAAAGATTACAGCAGTGGCAAGAAAACCTACAACAATGGCAGCTCGAAGAGCAAAATAAACAAGAGAGATTACAGCAGTTGTTAGAGGAAAAGGAAAATAAACAAGAAGAGCGACTATAGCAGTGGCAACTAGAACAAGAAAAGAAAGGAAGAAAGTATCCAACAGTTGCAGGAAAGTCAG